TGATTCCTTTAACTCAAAAGTTAAGAATGTTATTGATGATATTGCTCCTGTGAAAGTCAGCAAGAAGACTGGCAGACAAAAATCACCTTGGAGAAAATCAACAGCAGTACAGTATGAAAAGACAATGCAGAAAAGCTGAGCGGATGCGGTGGAAGACGAAACTTGAAATTCACTATAGCATCTATAAAGACAGCCTTCATGCTTTCAATGTGGAGCTAGCCACAGCGTAAGCATCCAATTGCACCTAGTCTGGCTAGACAGACAGAAGAGCGCAGCCAATGCCAGGTAAGGCCCCACCCCCTTACCTGAGAGCATATAAGGCCTGCACGCGACGCTATTCTCCAGTTGTCATTCGCTTCTCGCGATCTCTGCACTTCACAGCTCGGGTTGGATTTATCACTGCTCACTTTTCGTGTCTTCAGGAGGACATATCGTCAAGACCTGAACAAGGCCCAAGAGGCAGCTAAGCCCCTCATGGAATGAGCTCTGATGTTCCCTGGGGGCTGCACATCCATCGATTCATATGCCAAAGCAATAGCTTCCACAAGCCAATGTGACGGCCAGCTCCAACACCTCAGATGTAAATGCAGGGAAGCACTCAGGCAAAAAAGCCGGGTTCGGCTTAAGAAAAACCTTATCTCCACTAAGAGAGAATTTAGTGCACGAGGAATAAACCGAGAGTGCATGAAGCTCACTGACAAGTTTAGCTGAAGCCAAGGCCAAGAGCAAAGCTGTCTTGAAGGACAGCAGCTTCAGGGAAATACTTCCCAGGGGCTCAAAAGGGGATTGAGACAGAGCCTCCAGCACCATGGAGAGGTCCCATTCAGGAACAGTTCTCCTGGTAACGGGCAAAGAACGACGGGCACCCTTCATAAATCTGCGGATTAGACGATGCTGCCCGACCGTTGAGCCCTCAAAGCCCACATGACAAGCAGAAATAGCCGCCAGGTAGACCTTAATGGTGGAAAAAGACCTGCCTTTATCCATAAGGTCTTGCAAAAAACACAAAATATCAGGAACTGAGCACTGATATGATGTGAGACGACGCCCATCACACCACCCTTCAAACACCTGCCACTTACAGCCATATAAGGACCGAGTAGACACGGCCCTGGCATTCTGTATAGTAGCAACCACACGCGGGGGAAGCCCTAGCGCGTTTAAGTTTGTCCTCTCACGGGCCAGGCCCAGAGAGCCACCCTGTCCGGGTGTGGGTGATAAATCTCCCCGTTCGCTTGAGATAATAGATCTGTGCGGAGGGGGAGGCGCCATGGCTGGGCACATAACAGAGGAATTATCTCTGCCAGCCACGGTGCTTTGGGCCACATGGGTGCTATCAGACCGAGAGACAGGCCCTTCTCTCTCACCCTGGCCAGTGTTGGAGTTATCAGGCACAGGGGAGGAAAAGCATACAGCAGCACTTTGGGCCATGGGTGGGCCAGTGCGTCGACCCCGACGGGTGAGTCCACGTCCTTTAGCGAGAAGAACATAGGACAATGGCTGTTTTTGCGAGAGGCGAATAGATCTACGTTTGCCTGTCCGAATCTCATCCATATCAAGCCCACTACCTGAGGGTGGAGGCGCCAATCTCCGTAGAGTGGATTCCCCCTCGATAGAAGGTCTGCGCCTCTGTTCAGAACGCCTGGAACATGAGTCGCGCGTAACGACAGGAAAAACCGTCTGCTCCACAGTAAAAGCTTGTGAGCTAGAGCGTGAAGTTTCGATGAGCGCAAACCGCCCTGGTGATTGATATATGCTATCGCTGTGGTATTGTCGCAGCGTACGAGCACATGATGCCTCTGCAGGCGAGGCAGAAAATAATTCAGAGCTTTCCATATGGCCATAAGCTCTAAATAATTTATGTGCGCTGAACGTAGTCTGCTTGGCCACAAACCGTTCACTGTTCTGCCCTCCTGGGTGGCACCCCAGCCAGTTAGGGACGCATCTGTCGTCACGACTTTCTGCAACATCACCGTCCCCAAAGGGGTTCCCTGTGCGTAAAAGCCCACGCTTCTCCAGTGGCGCAGAGCTGCCGTGCAGGCGTGCGTCACTGTTACAGAGCGGCAGAGATCGCGTAACGGGCTGAAATGTAGTGACAAAACCCATTTCATGAACGCCCTCATTCTCAGAAGTCACAGAGGGAGCTAAACCTGCCTCCACATACAGAGAAAACGTCCTTGGGCTTAGGGCGAGCCCAAACGGGAGGACTGTGAATTCGTAACATATGCCTTGATAGGCGAAACGAAGAAACTTCCTGTGTGGCGGATAAATGCTTATGTGGAAAAAAGCATCTTTCAGATCGACCGATGTGAACCAGTCGTTCTGTTTTATGGCGCGGGTCAGAGTGCCGTGGGTTAACATTCTGAAATTGTATTTCCTCAAATGTTTGTTCAACACTCTTAGGTCCAAAATGGGGCGGAGAGAACCGTCCTTCTTTGGAACCAGGAAATAACGAGAATAAAATCCTTGATTTATCAGATTGGGGGGCACCACCTGAATCGCTCCCTTTAATAGAAGGGAAGAGATTTCCTCGTTCAGAATGTGAACGGCGCTCTCCTCCGTGTGAGAGGAAAGAAAGCCGTTGAAATGCGGGGGTTTTATTACAAACTGCAGTCTGTAGCCCTGCATTACAGTTCGCATCACCCACTCGGGAGCCGAAACAGTCTGCCAGGCCGACTCGTAACTCGCGAGTGTCTCCACCAGAGCCGGAGAAGCGCTGGCGTTCTCGCGTGCACCCAGTTGGCTCATTTGTGATGCAATGACGCCCTCTAGTGACCAGACCAGGGGCGACATGCAGGGGTTCAGAGAGATGTTCTCTCTCTGCAGAGAAAAGTACTCTCACTGAAACGAATTCATATGATTCGTTTGTTTTATTGTGTTCTTTGTGTTTTGTTGTGTTGGGGAACACAGGGGCCGAAGCCTTTATTAACTGGGTGAGGGGAACAAAGTATGTGCCGTGTGGTGACACTGCTTGTGAACTTTTCCTCACAACAGGGGGGGGTGGGGAGAACACACAACGTCCACTGAACGCATGGGCCACTGAGCTCAGCTCCAAGCCCAGGAAAATCACACTCTGACTGGGTGTAAGGTTGCTTTTGTTCAAATTCACCCTGAACCCGAGAGATGTGATGTGAGTGAGCACACGACGGGTGTCCTGCAGTACTTTCATCTTCGATTCGGCTATGATGAGCCAATCGTCTAAGTATGTCAAAATCCACAGACCTGACATTCTCAGGGGAGCTAAGCCTGCCTCCACACACAGAGAAAAAGTCCTTGGGCTTAGGGCGAGCCCAAACGGGAGGACTGTGAATTCGTAACATATGCCTTGATAGGCGAAACGAAGAAACTTCCTGTGTGGCGGATAAATGCTTATGTGGAAAAAAGCATCTTTCAGATCGACCGATGTGAACCAGTCGTTCTGTTTTATGGCGCGGGTCAGAGTGCCGTGGGTTAACATTCTGAAATTGTATTTCCTCAAATGTTTGTTCAACACTCTTAGGTCCAAAATGGGGCGGAGAGAACCGTCCTTCTTTGGAACCAGGAAATAACGAGAATAAAATCCTTGATTTATCAGATTGGGGGGCACCACCTGATTCGCTCCCTTTAATAGAAGGGAAGGGATTTCCTCGTTCAGAATGTGAGCGGTGCTCTCCTCCGTCTGAGAGGAAAGAACGCCGTTGAAATGCGAGGGTTTTATTACAAACTGCAGTCTGTAGCCCTGCATTACAGTTCGCATCACCCACTCGGGAGCCGAAACAGTCTGCCAGGCCGACTCGTAACTCGTGAGTGTCCCCACCAGAGCCGGAGAAGCGCTGGCATTCTCGCATGAGCCCAGTTGGCTCATTTGTGATGCAATGGCGCCCTCTAGTGGACAGACTAGGGGCGACATGCAGGGGTTCAGAGACATGTTCTCTCTCTGCAGAGAAAAGTACTCTCACTGAAACGAATTCATATGATTCGTTTGTTTTATTGTGTTCTTTGTATTGGGGAACACAGGGGCCGAAGCCTTTATTAACTGGGTGAGGGGAGCAAAGTATGTGCCGTGTTTCCTCACAACAGACCCCCTGAACGTGGGGGGAGAACACACAACGTCCACTGAACGCATGGGCCAGGCAGCCACGAGAATGGGGCGGTTACCCTCTCCATGAGAAAGCCTCCGTCTTTTGGACAGGGTCTCGGGGGCAACAAGGGAGTCCGAAGAGCTTGCGGCTCGAGAACGTAGCGGGGGGGGATTTCGTCCCGTGACAGGAGGGTTAGGCAAACGCGCAGGGGGCACCTGGCATAACTTGAAGGCCTCGTCCTCCTTCTTGTCGTCGTTGCTGCATCCATCCGACGGCGGGACCAAAGAGAGCCCGGCCGGGCTCAACCGGAGCGCCCGCGATGCGCCTCTTCTCACTGTCGGGGAGGCCTGACAGGTTAAGCCAGAGGGCGCGCTCTCCCACCACAGAAAGCGCCATGGAGCGCCCGCAGGCTTGGACGGCCTGACGGGCATTGCGGAGGACGAGGTCATTGACAGTGACGATCTCCTTCCACAAGGTTGGAGAGGGAGCTCCTTTGTCCAGCTGCTGCCCTAAATTGTCCAAAATCTCCGCTTGGTAAGCGGAGAGGAGAGATGAAACGTTTAGGGCCCTGACAGCCAAGGCCGAGGATTTGTAAGCGGCCCCGGGAGGCCCCCGGTAGCGCGTCGTCATCACCGTGTCTATGGCGTTATTTTAATGACAAATGTCGAGAGCGCATTATTGTAGCGCGAAAGCACATTAATATAATGCGCGA